CAGTGTTCCCAGGAGAAATTTTTGCTCTCATGGCAGGGAGAGACAGCGAGGTAATAGCTGAGTTTATAAAAGCCTTAAGACAGCTCTAAAGTGCATGGATGTGAACAGTTTGAATGCAAAACAGTGACAACTTCTTCATTCTGTGAGGATGTTTGAGTGTGCCTTGGACAAGGCAAACCTCCAGCGTCCAACTTCTGTATTTACCATATTTTGTTAGTTAACTTGGATAATCTTTGATCATCCTTCTATCAATCAGGTGTGGATTTTGTTTTGTTTTTTTGGGGGGTTTTTTGGGTTTTTTTTTTTTCCTCTCCTTCAATTTAGGTTAGAATACAGGGAGATACTGGAATAGTGTTCATAGAATCATAGAACGGTTTAGGTTGGAAGGGACCTTGAAGATCATCAAGTTCCAACCCCCCTGACATGGGCAGGGACACCTCCCACTAGAGTGAGAGTCCACTAAGTGTTGTCCACTTCTCTGTGAAAGAGAGCAGTCACTGCCTTTTGTGGGGTGTTGCATGGTAGCAGGTTCAGGCTGCCAGTTCATTAGGTAATGAACTCTCTCTTAATAACTGGATGAATGACATGTACATCACTGGCATAGTGTTGTATTCCTCCCAGGCTGAAGCTAGATGTAGGTCTAATTTTTTAACAGCATAACTATGGTTAGGAGTTGGCCAACTTGCTGTTAAAATCTCGTGCTTTTTGCATAACTGGATATACCAAGTGCTGTGGCTGGGTTAATTGATCACTACCCCAGTGTAACGCATACGATTTGGGGGACTTATTCATTTTAGTACTGATTAGATACCTATAGCTTGAAATTCCCAGCAGATTTCTGACAGAGACATCAGCAGGCTACAGTAAGTCAAAATCCGTTAAGATTTGTACAGTTTAACTGAGAGATCTCTGCAGATGATTTGTGCTCCCAAGAGCAGCTTGGCGGGATAGGAGCACTCTGTAGGCTGGAATCCATCATCTCTTCAGCACAGGGAAGGGGACATGTGGCACCTTCGGTGTCTGGGTGAGCGGCGTCTAGATTTGTTACAGCTGGCAAGCTGAGTGGGACTGTCCTTGAGGGTATTTGTTTTGTGGGTATTTGTATTGTGTAAAATTATAAGATAGCGTTTACAGGGCAGGTAAGTGAGTGCCTTGGTCTCTTTGTGGCTGAGGCATTGTGGTACATCACGATGACTTGGGAGCAGAACCTGGGAGAAATAGTGGTAGGATGAATCTTTAATGTGGTGTAAGTGGATGCTGGGCTAACCCCAGTTAGGAAATAAATGTTTAGTTTAGACTTTTGTGATGGAAAAATTATACTGAAACCTACCTGGGAGGTTTTGACTCATGTAGAACTGCACCTTTCCATGGGAAGACAGTCTGCTTGCAGTCTTATGATCTGTCCTCCTTTTATTAGCTCCATGGAATGAATTTTCAGATGTCACTCTGACTGGAAAGCATTGGTATTTTTAAACAAATACAGTTATTTAGACATTATTTTAAGTATACATTGTAACTGTGTACATTGAGAGAGAAATACATTCTAAAGTTCTGATTTTGGGTGTTGTCTCATGTCAGTCCTGATGTGGTTATTGTCGGCAGAGAAGTTTTGTGAGTAATGGTTTATATCACCGGAAAAACATTACGGAAAAATTAAAAATGTTTAGTTTACAAGGAAAGGTGCTTAGTAATATTTCACTCTGGAATATGAATGTCACTGACTTTGTAATAGCGTTTCAAGAAGAACTACCTGGGCATATCATTGCCAAAATGATGAGTATAGGCATGGTCGAGGTCCATGTGAAGCGGCATACCTTAAAAACTTAGAAAAGTGCTGCCTTTTAACTAAAACACAAGGAGGAAGCTCATGCTGCTAGTTTTACTCTAAGTAAACCACATTATTTTATCCTGAACCAATCAGATCATAACTGAAGGATTTGAGCCTCCCATCTTCAAACAAAAGGGTTTTTTTTTTTGCCTTTGGATTTCAGTGTGAATAGGATCATGTCCAAATCACACAGAAAGCTATATTTAATGTAAACAAAAGTAATGCTGCCAGAAGTCTTGTATCCCACATAGATCAAAGATGAATCATTTTGACTTCAAAAAAAATGGATATAACCAAGTACATTTCAAGTAAGTTAAAATTGAAAGTTGTGATTTTCTATTTGAAATTTAATGGTCTGGTCTGCAGAACATGTTATGATTTGCCTGCAGTGAAAGAAGTGTGCTAGGCATACCCAGTACTTTAAATTACTTCACTTTAAAGCATGATCATTTGAGGTTTATCTAGTGCTCTGTGGCAGGGTACAAGTGCAACGGAACTGAAGATACTCTGATGTAGACTTCTGACATTACATTAGTGTCTTACCTGCAAGCTTGTGATTTAAACAGAAAAGTTTTTACAGTCAGTCTTCTGTTTCATAGTTTATTCTGCTTTGATTACAATCATCAGTTTTTACTCTGTTAGGTTATTGGGAGAGAGCTGGGAGCTGTTTGCTGCTTGGGTCCAAACAAAGGTTATTAAGCTCATGACTCCAGTAGCTCCACTGTGAGCAATTGTTCGCCTTACTCAGACTTTAGGCTGAAGGCTTGAAATCTTATTTCTAATATCAATCTAAAGTCCTCTGCCTCAGAAGTCAGTAATAAAATTAATATTGATTTAAACTCAGGTTTTTACTCTATCAAAATTCCCTCTGAAAGAAAAAGCTGAACGAGTTATTTTCACATCACCAGTGGATTCTAAACAGACTTTTTTGTCTTCTGGTATTAATTGACATTTTTTTTCTAATATGAAATATGTTTGTGATTTCATGTCTGTATTCAGAAAGCTGTTTTAAAAACTGGTTTCCTTCTTAAATGAGATGTGTGAGCAGACTCATGGAGTACAAGAGATAGCCATCCCCATTAGCAAAGCATAGCATGCCTGAGGCATTTTCTTAATTAACCTCTTGAGTCTGATCCTGAAGATGCTGCAAAAATGTATTTTTCATTCCAGTCACAATATTTAGACTATGAGCATTGAGGGGTTAACTGCTCACATCTCTGTGAACACTTTTGTTTATTAACAGACATATTTGTTAGTTTTGTACTAAATGTAGAGAAAGAATGGTCTAGTTCCGCAAAATTCTGTGTGCCATATTTGTGTATAGATCTTTATGCTGTGCTTATCACTAATCTGCCTGTCGGCTCTGACTGAAAAAATTAATCCAATATTGCACAGGTATATAATCTCTTTATATTCTCCTTCATGGAGACGTATTACAGAAGTGCTGAGTAAGTAAGAGTTTTGTTTTCTTTTTTTTTCTTCAGTATGTGGAATACTGTCGTTAGCACAGGTAGGCAACCACCATATATGTCAATATATATCTTATATAACTACCATACATACCATATTATACCATGTTTAAGATGTTTGGTTTCTTGTAGGTTCCACATCAAAGAACAAAAACCTTCTGTGGCAGTAGAGTTCAAAGCCACGGTATAGAAGTTCTTTGGTTTGTATCCTCCTGTTAAAAACACCTTTCTCCAACAACCTTGACATGTTAGATATTTGTTAAAAATAGAGATGATGGTAATTTTATTTTTATTGGTGAGTTTACAAGTTAATAATGCCATACAGTTTCAGAAAAATAATTCTGCATGATCTTTAAAGATATGCAGCACAGATGAAATCTTATTCTCTATGCATAATCAAAATTGTGGTATATCTCAAACTTTTACAGGTCAATAAAAAGATTTTTCAGAAGGCTGTCTATAATGTTATATGCTATAAACTTTCAACAAAGATTTAGTATTGATGGTCAAGTGACTATTGAATGTTGACTGGTTGAACAGTGACCTACTGTTCCTTGTACATGAACAGGCAAAATTGTGTTCTTATGTAAACACAGTTTTCCTGTAGCATATAAAGGCACTTCAAAATATACTAACCATTTTAGGGAACAAATGAAGACTACACAGTGATAAAGTAGTGTCCTTGTCTTATTCACTGGGATTAACATCAAGTTACTACTTGAAATGTTTAATTACTGAAAGGGGAAAGGAATGGAGGTCACAGGGGAAGAAAAAAACTGGCTAAAAGATTCCACAGTTGCCCTTAAAACCACATAGAATATTTTGTGCTTGACTTTTCTGAGGAAGAAAGCTGGGTTATCACTACAGCTTCATGCCCAAGAACTAGTTCAGAATAATACTGACTTTTTAATAAAATATCTGAGGAAATAGCTATAAATTCAGTCTGAAAAGCTTGTGGTATCTTCCTGAATGGAAAGTGCTAAGGAGAGAGTTGTTACCACTACTGAAGTTGTTTGGTCTGTTTGTAGGTTTGCCAGTCATCAAGTTTCGAACTCTCTGATGAGTTATGTTACTTTGCAAAGTTTCATTCAAAACAGTTTAGTTATTTCCAAGTGTGAAGCAAGAAAAAAAATAGTCTGTCAAAGAAAAAGAAACCCAGACAACTTTTGTCTGAGAAACTCTTAAAGCAAAGACTTAGTAATTGCTAACAATACGGTCACCATGCCAGAGGTGTGTTGTCCTCTGTTCTTTTAAAGATATGCCCATAATAAGCCCATTTGTGATGCTTAAGTACCTCTCTTGGGAGAGATTTCCTCTAACTTTGGCAGTTAAATCTGCTCTCTCTTATTGTCCCTGTCAGGTCCCGGTTGCCACTGCTTCATCTTTGTAACTGGTGTTTCTGGCGCTTGAGTTTGGGCAGCAGAACTGAAAATAAATTTGTGCATCTGGAGCTGTCAGATGTGTTTCTGCGTTACCTGTCCCACAATACAACAGAGTGGAGAAACTTCCTGATTTGCTGCATGTGGGGACAAGGGCCATACTGGCGGGGGGGGGAGTGAAGAAGAAGGTTGGAGAAGGGTCAAAGTAGTGTGACATATTTGTGGAAGGGCCTGTGATTCAGTGCACAGGGAATTCAAGGAATATGCGGGAACCAGTGGGGATGACAGGCTGAGGGGAAGCGGCAATGTATGTGACAAGGCGGTATGAACGAGGAGGGTGATAACCGGAAAGAGGTGGGAAAGGACAAGGAACTGGGAAGTGGTTAGGGAAAACAGGACACCCCCCACCCCAAGATGGTAGGTAGGTCTAATTAAGGAGCTCCGGACTTTCAGCCAGGGATGAAGGATGGTGCCAAGGAGAAGACGACGACAGTTGTGTGTGAGTTGGGTGAAGGGGGAGCAGCTGATGGTAACACTGACACAGTACACACGTGCAAGAGGCTGAATTAGAGGTTTGCAGGCTGCTTTAATGCTTTACGCTTTTATTTTGTGTGGTGTTACTTGGACTAAACACTTGCCTTGTGTGTTTGTTTATGTGCAGGGGTATCATTCTTCACAAAAACCCCAACAAACCTGGCTCAGATTTTGGTTTATCTGAAGATGCAGGGCTGAAATCTGCAGTGATTCAGGAATTGATTGACAGCTGAATGATTTCAGGAATTGATTGACAGCTGAATGAGGCACCCTTGCTGTGAGCAAAGAAGGGAGGGGGCATGCAGTGCCAGTCAGAGGGTGAAGAGCAGCTCGGAGCTGTGACAGATACATCCTTTTCATCCCCCTCTGCTGCTGCGGGCCTGTTAAGAGTCCTTCCTTTCCCACGGAGGGGCTTTTTTTGTTTTGAGGTGTTGGTGTTTTGTTTTTTTTTT